TGCATTCATGTGCCGTGACCAGGAGAGATTGAACCTGAAACCTTGGCTATCAGGACAACTCTCTAACTAGCTGAGTTACCTGGCCAGGACCTGCAGTTTTTAAATTCATTTCATTTCAAAATGGGATTCTTATGAACTTCTTTCAGATGCTAAGATGTTTCCTCAGTTATCTTACTATATTCTTTGTTATTGAGACTATTTTTATAGTAATTACTAGAGGCCCTGTGCCAGCCCACCCTGATTGGGGCTGGCTGCGGGTGGGGCCATGTGCAGTTGGCCAGCTATCCCCACCCCCGATCAGGGTCGGGGGGGCCCATTGGGGCCTCGATCGGGCCAGTTGGCCGCCGCAGTGTGCATCGTAGCAACCAGTCGTTCCAGTCTTTGCGGTCATTCCAGTGGTCTGGTCGCTTAGGCTTGTATATATATAGATACCAGCTGGAATTCACATAGCACTTTGGAAAGCTTTGAAATAATTTATCTTGCTTTATCTTTAAGATGTTCCTTAAAACATACATTCTCTCACACCATACAAATAAGATGAAATGGCTTATCCAGTGTCACATAGTTGCAATTGGAGGGTGTAGTATTCCAATCCAATTGTTCTGACTCAGAAAGTCTGTATTCCTTTTCTGATTCACTGTTTTCATGAACCTCCCAAATTAAAACTAGAAGTTCTAAGTCTAGATTCACCAATGTCTTCTCCCTTGCCCATCATAAAAGAGCACTAAACCGAAGATCTCTCCAACCCTGGGTTATTTAGTCTAAGATTACTACTAACAATCCTCATTCATTCTTTTATTTATTCTTTTAACAAGAAGTTATTGAGTTTGTGTGGGAAATATTATGCTCTGAAAATGCTTAGTATGGACCCAATTTACTCTCAGTGTATCTATCTATCTATCTATCTAGTTATCTATTTATTTCTAATTGTTCCATGTTTAGAAAAAAGATTTATGGGAACTCTAAATCTACCTGAAGTATAACAAGGTAATGTAAATTAGACTATACAAAAACTACAAACACACAGTAAAAACATAAAACACACACTAACACGAGACTCATGAAGTCCTTTGTATCCTCTCAGGCCCTCCATATATTGTATATATGTGAAGGTATGAAGTGCTTGATCTTAAAATGTGTCCTCAACTAATCATCCTGAGAGCAAATAAATTGTACTACATATAATGTTTATTGTAAAAAATGAAAGAAAGTACTTATTGAAGAGATAAAATCCTTGTGAACAGTATTTAAAACAGAAAGGATATGGAAGGTAACTGACATGATGATAATGAGATGACTCTGGTAGCATTTATTAAGATTTTTAAATAAGATGTTATTAAGGAATGGTAAATTTGGGAGGGAAATAATTTTTTTCCTATTTTTTGTCAATGTTGATTTGTTCTCAGGTTACCTAAAGTTATATTTATATTTAATATAATTATAGCAGTGATTTTCAACCTTTTTCATCTCCTGATATACATAAACTAATTACTAAAATTCTGTGGCACATCAAATATATACTTTTTGCTGATCTGACAAAAACAAAAACTTGTATAATTTTTATTCATTCATGCCAGGCGCCGCTTGTTGTCTTAGATGTTGTCATTATTTTATTTGACAATGTAAGGGAAAAGAGGTCAGTGCCCCTGACTAAATAGTCAGGTATTGCATGTTTTAAAAATTTTTGTGGCAGACCAGTTGGAAATCACTGATTTATGGTATTAATGGTTGGCATATACCTGAATGATTTTATTTTGAGCATATTACATAGTTAAATTTCAGATGAGCTTAGTACTCCTGATAACTTCTGTATCTTTTGTTTCGGAGGTATTTGAGGAAGTGAAATCTACTGAGTCAATTAGAATGGTGGAGTCCCAAGTACTTCCTCTTAACATTCTCAGAATGTTAATATGTTGGAGGCTAGAAAAGGAGTTATTTATTGGTCTTTCTTTTTCTTTAAAGTATGCTCCTTGATCTTGCATTAACTATATGTTGACAGAAACATTATTTTAATTATTGATGCCCAAGCTGATGAGTTATTATATGCCTGTGGAAGACATCCCTCATGGGTAGTCAATCAACTATTTAACAGAAACCAGGGCAGAGCACCAAGGTGGCATTTGAGAATTTATGGTGAAACTTAATTTGCATATGACAGTAGTCAGTTTACAGAGAAAGAGGGTGAGTGAAGTCCTGTTACAGTAAATACCACTAGGGAGACACATTTAGCGTGATCTGTTTGCAAATCAAAAAGGATGTACATTGCAGCTGTTGTTTTGATCTAGTGAATAATATTAACTCTCAACAAAGATAAAGCTGAAGATATCTTTTGTGGTATATACATAAAACAGCCACTCTAACACACATCAGTGATTTGTATAGCATTTCAGGTTGGAGAGATGAAGTAAAACCTAAATTGGGTTTTAGATTAACTGGTCCCAGTCTTTTTCTTTTATCATCAAGTTGTTATTGCCTTTCAGCCCTTCCCTTTCCAAACTTAATCTTTGTAGTTACCCTTTGTTTGGAAATAGATGACAAACTGTAAATCATTTTTAACCAAAACAACATGCAAATTGACCTTGAAGGTTCTAAGAGAAGCCTTTGGAGCTGAGTATAGTGGCTCACACATTCTGGGGAATGCACTAAAAATAGTATGACTTTAATGTTTTAGATTGACTGGACTAATTTTTAGTAATAATTATATTGTAGTTAGACCTTAAAAGATTTTCTGTTTGTAGATAATACAGACTAAAACATTTACAGATGAATTTATGTAATGTGTAGGATATGCTTCAAAGTAATCCAAGAGTGGAGGAAGCAAACAAAAGTACAGGTGAATCAGGATTGGGTGAATTGATAATGGTTGAAGTTGTGTGATAGGCACATACGGATTCATTATACTTTCTCTCTTCTTTTGTATATGTTTAAATCTTTCTCTAATATTTTTTTCAATGAATGAATGAATGAAGTATCCACTTACAGCCCAGAGTACTGTTTTCCATCCTCCATACAGCAAAGACACAGGGAACATCAGCTCTTTCACATCCTGCTCTTATATTAGAACAACCCTTTTGAAATTATTTTATGCAGATCTGTAAGAAAATTCCAGGAGTGGCACACAATATAGATCCCTTTTGACTTTTATAATAAGGGGATTTACCCAGATGACAACATATATTCAATGTGTACTTAAATTTAATGTTCTTTTTATTGAAAGGTTTAATTTTGCTTAAATATTTACTCCTGTGCTAGAAAATATCAGGTTAAGATATTTTCAATTTTATCATTCATAAAATGTGGAGCAAATAATATTTAAGTTGCCTCGAAGCCCACCTGAGCATGTGTGGAATTAATGTCACATGTGCCCAGTCAGGTCCGGTGGGCTTTGAGGCAACTTAAATATGTATTAGCATGTCTATATATTTTTCTTCACCACTTTGTTTCAACTATTTTACCATTCTAAGGGAATGTTGCAATTTCTTCTCATTAACTAACCCAAAGAGTGTTTGTTTGTATGTGTTCCTTTGATAATTTCTTTGGCAATGTAGATGTTCAGTTTGCTGATCTGAGTGACAATTGGGAAAGAACTACCTACCTACCATAGAGGGGTTGTTCAGTCATTGTCCCGTGAGAGGAGAGTGAGAGTGTTTTTCCACAGTTAGTCAGTGTGTCACTGTAGGGCAGGTAGATCACCAGTTTCCCATCATACTAAGGAGATGGGGCAGTCTTGAATTAAGTACGGAATGGTTTCTTTAAAGATGTCAGTTTCCTTTGCATCCCTTCTCTCTAAAATGGTTCTGATTCATCCCATTTCTGCCTTTCAATGATTTTATGACTTTTATTTTTTCTTAAATGAAACTGCTAAATTCAGGGTAAAATGCAGAAACAAAAATATAGTGGTGAATATAGTATACCATCTATCTTCCTTTTTTATGTATATTTTTATTGATTTCAGAGAGGAAGGGAGAGGGAGAGAGATAGAAACATCAATGATGAAAATCATTGATGAGCTGCCTTCTGCACACCCCCTACTGGGGATCAAGCCCACAACCCCACAACCTGTCTTGACCGGGAATCGAACCATGACCTTCTGGTTCATAGGTCGATGCTCAACCACTGAGCCATACACCAGCTGGACACCATCTATCTTTATGAAGCAGCATAATCAGCAGAGCAAGAGAAAAGTCTTGTCCTATTTTCCTGCTAATTGGGAATTCTGAGGGCAGTTAGTTTTGAGAAATGGAATTGGGAGACTTTGAATAAAACCTTTATTAGTTACCAATAAATAAATTTATGTCCCAAAAGTATTTGTACAAATCTTTTTGTAATATCTAGTTTAAAAGATGAGGGGCAAAGCTTGCTATGTCACATAGTGTTATTTTCCATATGAGCTGTGCCAGGATGCGGGCTCTCAGGACAGATTATGGCTTCTGAATGTAGATTTACTTTATTTTTCCCACTGATTACTTATAAATCAAGATTTTAAAAGACTGAGGCAATTAAAATGGTAATATTTAGCCATAGTTTTATGCACAGGAATTTTTCCAGAATGGATTTTAAAATGGATTATTCTTATAGTTCCTATTATTTTATTTATAATGAACTTTTGAAAAAAATGTTCTTTTTATAAAATGTTTAGTATTGGTGCCTTTTGTTAAAGAGGGACATGATTCAACTTCTCGTTTTCTGCAGCACTAAAGTTTTGATACATTAAAATTATTAGTGAAGATTCAGGAAAATTAGATTAGGTTCCTTTTCTTTGGCAAAGCAAAATTTTTTTAAAAAGGAATTTTTCTTTAAAAGTTTGAAATTAGAAATACTGTACATTTATCATATATTTTGGCTTTTTGTTCTATTCCACTACTGCTTCCCCTACCCCCACTGACTAGCCTAAAATATCTTTTTTTGCAACTTTGTTTTATACTTATAAAACTTTGGTTCCTCCCAGTACTGTTTTATTTAAACAAAGACCAATCAGCACATTTTATGTGTTTGTTCAGGAGTCAGATGGCCAGGGCTGCCCCTTCTGTCGCTGTGAAATAAAAGGAACGGAGCCCATAATTGTGGACCCCTTTGATCCAAGAGACGAAGGCTCCCGGTGCTGCGGCATTATGGACCCCTTTGGAATGCCGATGCTCGACTTGGATGATGACGATGACCGAGAGGAGTCCTTGATGATGAATCGGTTGGCAAATGTTCGAAAGGTAAAACTGGAAAACATAGATTTAATTAGGGTGGTTTGTGGGCATGAAAAAGATATGATGGTGTTACAGATGCAGTGTGACTGAGTGTGTTTTGGAAAGAAAGATTCAGGCATCAAAAGGAAGGTGAAGATACAAGGTATGTTGACAGGATGATGAATTCATAGGATGTGAAAGAACTGTGGACTCAAACTACATTCTCACTGGTAATAACTTCAAAATGAGAGATGGTGAGAGCTTTCATATAGAACTATACAATAGCTAAGACTGGTAACAGCAGAATGTGAATAAACATTAAGAAATAAAGTTATTAAAATTGGAAATGATGAAACTGATTAAAATTAGTCTTTGTTGAAGTCTAAAAGAGGTGTCCAATAAAGTTCTTTTCTTCCCAGGAAAGTCAGCCTTCTGTTGGCTACTAAGAGGTCACAAAGATTTACCTTTGTGCATTTACCATAATCTGTGGTTCAGTGTTGCTGACTCACAAAATTGACTTTGTGAGTTCACTGAGAATGGATGCTACTGCCCAGTTGGAGTTTACCAAGCTCACCAGAGACTAGTCAATGAACCAGAATGCCAATTGAGTAATTTACAAACTAGAAATAGAATGATCAAGAGAGCTAGACTCTAGATATCAAGCTATTTTCTGTACAGTAGATGCATGAATTTCAGGTTATATTCAGAACTTCTGTGCTCTCAATGTCAGCGAAATGGCAATGAGTGGTATTAAAGAGCCTGCAAATACCATATGAAGGTGCCTGCCAACTCATGGCAGGCATGGCTAATCAATCATGGCCCTCTTCCCTGCTGTATTCATACTTGGCCTACACAGCCTGTGGGACCTCCACTACAATTCATTAGGATTTGGCAGGTAACAGGAAACCTATTTGCCAGGGTGGAGTGCTGATAATGTGAAATGGCATCAAGTTGTATTTGCCATATGCATCTCTTTCTGGTAGGAAATCACTTGAAGCAGAGAACATAAATGGCTATTCAAATGCAAATTTAAAATAATTAACATTTAATAAAATTTTAAAATTTCATTCCTCAGACACACTTGACATATTTTAAATGCTTAGTGGCCACTTGCATTATGACTACTGTATTAAACCTGACAGAAATAAAACATTTTCTATAGGTATTGAAGTATCTAATGAAGGTACATATAATAGAAGTATCCAGTAGATAATTCTGTTGGACAGAGTTTCATTAGATAATTCCTCCAGGCTTTACTGGAAGAAACTAGGTCTTGGTGCAAAATACATTTCATTTAAATTTAATAACCTAATGATCTTAGTTTTGTCTGGATATATGACTGTGATTTAGCACTCGAATCAGCAGACTATGGCCTATTTTTGTTTGGTTTTCTGTGAGCTAAGAATGATTTTACATTTTAAATGGTTATATATTTAAATGATTTTACAAGTACCTACATAATTTCCTTGACTTGCAAAGCCTAAAATATTCACTATCTGGCTCTTAAGATATAGTCCCCAGGCCTAGGGCACTGTAAGCATTTAAAGAATGTTTATTGACTGCACAGATAATAGGGAATGATACAGAAGTGTTTTAGAAGCAAACAACAGGTCAAGTAGTCCAGATGACTTAGATGATAATGTTTTCTAGCTAGAAAAAGGGCATTTCAATCTTCTTTACTAAATGGATTTTCTTCTTTCAGTGATTCATGTCAGGGGAAGTCTTAAGAGCAATTCTTTTAAGAATTTTGTACCCTTTACTGCTTGGGCGGAAACGGTATTTGCCATATAGGATTTTGGGAAAAGTTGCATTCTGGGCCTATTTCCCATTGAACAAGTTGAAGCTTGAGCTCTGTTTCAGGAGGTGCCCTGGCTAGTGAAAAGAGTCACTGGTAACGTGAAATGAACAGAATGCTGAAGGTGGCTGGAGTGGTTTTCCCTACCTCTTTAGCTCTGTCTCGGCCATGCATGTTTGGTTCTCCCTACGTACCTGCAAGCTCTCTGGCAAGGGAGCTGAGTGAATTTTTACATTAATCTCCTCTTTAGTTTATGCAGAAAAGAGAATGGTACTTTCAGACATTATTGTCCCAAAACTACCAATTCAGTGGCTTATTTGACAGTCAATAGTGTCATTGAGTAAGAGCTTTCATTACAGTCAATTATTTCTATACATTCCTATAGCAGTTAGATATTGGAGAAATTTAAAGAACTTGTAATTATTTCTTTTTAGGTTGAGGAATCATATTTCAATGTAATGCCTTTCTGTGCACTGATCTGCTTCTAGTCAATTAAACAGACTGGATTTTATAATATTTCATAAATCGCTGCCACTTAGTAAAACCTAAATATTAATGTAGATAAAAGCATCAGTTATTTCTGAATAACTGGCAAAAAGGTTGCTGAACCTATGCTCCCATAACATGCTATATGTACTTCCATTTCAGTAGAAGTACTGAATTGTTAGTGTTTTATTTAGAGGACTGTCTTCTCTATGAGACTATTAATTCTTAAGGCTAGGGCCAGTGTCTTATTACCTTTGTGTTCCCTGGCACCTAAACACACTCAATGAATATTTACTAAATCTTCTTTGAGGCCAGTGACCTGATCCTGTACATCTTTTTATCTTTGTTCCAATCTGAATATATATGTACAATACATCAAATTGTAAGTTTTATCCAGTTCTGTCATACAGCTGAGATTATAAACAAATATAACACAGTCATTTTGACATCATAGCTCTTCTGCCAGAATTTTCCTTCTCTATGTTTATTTAATCTTTCTGTTGCCTCATTCACTTATTCATTCATTTTAAAACTATTTTATTTTCTCAACTCCAAGAGTAACTACAGTCATTGTCCAGCAAAACAATTCATTTTTTTTAATCTGCTTTTTCAAATTCTCATCTCATCTTTCTCTTCTTTTATGAATAGGTAGATGACTATATTGTGGAATCTTTCTGCCTATCTTAAGCATACTGCAATCTTTAAATTAGTAATGATTTTCTCTGGCTGGTTTACTCAGTTGGTTACAGCATCATTCTAATATGGCAAGGTTGCAGGTTCTATCCAGTCAGGCCACATACAAGAAGCAACCAATGAATGCATAAGTAGAACAAGTCGATCTATCTCTATCTCTATCTCTATCTCTATCTCTATCTCTATCATCTCTCATTCTCTCTAGAATCAATCAACATATAAAAAAAAATAGTAATGCTTCCATCATATCATAGAGGACTGAGCTGTTTGTATATTACTGTTACCTTGGTGAGATCCCATCCCACAGCCGGAGTTTATAAATAGTAGCATACTAAACATATAGATTGTATTATTATAAGTTAAATATATATCATAATGATAATTTTACAGATGCAAATAGAACTTATAGATATATAATACAGTGTATTGGTCGCCTTTCTTGGTATAGGCTGTTTTATGATTTTAACTGGAACATGTTTTAGATTTAGCTTCAAGTTGTACCATTGCCTGTGTCCTTGAAGTGTCAGAATTTCTAGGATAATTGGATCTGATGTGAGCCCTCAAAGGAATTCCAGGGCATGATTGGTAGGATCACATCCTTCTCTCTGACTTCAGGGAGATCAGAGCTTAGAAAAGGTATCTGTTGCTAGTCAGAATTTTGTTTCATTTTGCCAAGGGTGTAAAGGGGAGTCTTAATATTTCCTTAGTAATTATGTTGATATAATGTATTATTATTCACCAAATACATAAAATTACAAGCAAAATAAAGATTTTCATACATAATAAAAATATTGACAGACTGAAATTAGTATATGAACCCAGATTAATTCATTTGGTTTTAAACATTATATTTTTTAAAACAGTATTTAAAATATAAATGATTTTTGCCATAAAAGAACAAAAATGGGTGTGACCATAGATCAAGGGAATTATTTGTCTTGTAGTTTTATTTACATTCTCTTAACGTTGCTGTCGTCAATTAAAATATATTACTAATTAAAAACTTAACATATCACCCAATTCTTGCTTTTTCTACACTAATAAAAGAGAAATATGTAAATTGACCATCACTTTGTGATGCCCACCAGCCAATCAGGAGTATGCAAATTAGCGGGACAAAGATGGAGGCGGCCACAGAGCCAGCTAGAGCGGGCGGGAGGCTTGGGTCATCCCCGGTGACAGAGGAAGCCAAGCTTCCCACCCACCTGGGCCAGCCGCCAAAGGAGGGGCCTGTGGGCGGCAGCCATGGAGCTGGCCTAAGCGTGCGGGAGGCTTGGGTCACCCAGGCCAGCAGCCGAGGGAGGGGCCTGCAAACGGCCCTCAGCCCCTCACCCAGGCTGGCCAGGCACCCCAGCGGGGACCTCCACCCTGAAAGAGGTGTGGCCAGCCTGAAAACAGCCATCAGCCCCTCATCCAGGCTGGCCAGGCACCCCAGTGGGGACCCCCACCCTGCTCCGGGACACCCTTCAGGGCAAACCAGCTGGCCCCCACCCGTGCACCAGGCCTCTATCCTATATAGTAAAA